CTCGCTCTATGCAGGGGCTAAGGGGCTCTTCCTGCAACCTTGCCGAGACCCGGCGACCCCGGCTCGCACTCAAAGGGGCTCGGCAAAACAAACCCTCCTTCCGAGCGAAAAGGAAGCGTGAGGGTCGTACAAAAAGACAGGGGAGCTCCCGACGGCCCTCTCGCCCTATGCAGAGGCTAGGGGGCTCTTCCTACAGATACGCCGAGACCCCACGACCCGGGCTGGCGCCCAAAGGGGCCTCGGCAAACAAACCCTCACGCGCGAGGGGCGTATAAAAAGCCAGGGGAACTCCCGACGGCCCTCTCGCTCCGCGCAGAGGCTAGGGGCTCTTCCTGCAACCTTACCGAGACCAGCGGCTCCGGCTCGCACTAGAATGGGCTCGGCAAACAAACCCTCCGTCCGAACGAAAAGGATATGTGAGGGTCGGATGAAAAAGCCAGGGGACCCCTGACCGCCCTCCTGCTCCTAGCGGAGGCTCAGGGGCTCCTCCTGCACCCAAGACAAAGACAAACGGTCTAAGTCCACGCTAGAAGTTCCGTTACAAATACGATAAAGGGCACCGAGCCCGTTACGGTCCAGGGGTTCGAAGGCTAGGCCTCCAGAAGTTTCGACAGTCGCCCCAGGGCAACAGAGTCAGGGACGACCTTGGGGCGAGCCTACGAATGGCCGAGGCCCGAGCGAACGATCGCTCGATCGCTCGGGGCGTCCTAAGTCGTGTCCGAGACCGGCAGGGAAGTCTCCGAATGGGATCCCACCGTAGGGAGGCACCGAGCCACCGAGGCCCAGCGAACGGCCTCGGCACCCACTAGAGAAACCCTCTGGTACTCTTGGAGTGCGTCTCCGGACCGCTAGCCGACCCTTAGCGAACGGGGTTCGGGCCTCCACTCGGACTACCCGATAACAGCTCACCGAAAGTGCCCACGCTCGTGCCCATCGAGGGTAGCCTGGCACATTCCACCCCTCCTTCTGAGCGAAAAGGAAGCGTGAGGGTCGTACCCAAAGTCAGGGGGATCCCTGATGGACCTCTCGCTCCGTGCGGAGGCTAGAGGGCTTTTCCTGTAGCCTCGCCAAGACCCCCGCAACCCGAACTTGCGCTTGTGGGCTCGGCAAATGCGATAAAAACTCCTCGCTCAAACGCGAAAACGAAAAAAGCCCCTGGAGGAGTAACTCCACTACTCCAGGGCCTCGGGGGCTACACCCAGCGGGTGCGCTCGCGCGCACCCACTGGAACCACCAAGTACAAAACACAATCCCGACGGGAGCTGCTACGAGTCAAGTCTCGTCAAAACCACAAGAAGGGGTACCCTAAGTAAGAACCGAAAATATTGCTTAAGCCTTGAAAAAATCAAAGCCAAAGGACAACCACGAGGTCTCGACAGATTCTCCAACTCGCACAAGGCTTGCGCCGTGGCCTCAGACGAAAGGCCAAAGCCCTCCGCCCCGCCGAGGCCCTCTCGTCGAGGCCCCCTCGCCGAGGCCCCGCCCCGCAATGCCTCGGATGGGATACCAATTCTTCGATTCGCCCAAGGCTGGGCTCGGCAACAACCTCGTCACCTCCGTCCCGACCGACTCCCCTGACAAAACGCCACGTCCAGTCAATATGCCCCACTACTCTCGCAACGTCAGCCGCACGTTGGCACAGTACAGGCATAATGACCGACGGGACAGGGGACCGGGCACAGCAAGGGTTACCTACCACTGTGCTCATCACTGTGCCCCCTGCTGACACCCGTACTGCCCTGTGCTACCTAACTCCTGCGCTAAGGACAAAGTGGCGTGGAGGGTCAAGTCCGGGTCCCAGTAGTCTCGGAATCAGCATGAAAGACCAACCGTTCGTCCTCTGCCTCATCCGAGACCCCCTGGTAGGGCCTCGAACGTACTATTCCTTCTCCGCCTCGGCCGAGGCCGGGCTTGTCCCGCATCCTCGTCGCCTCCGCCTCAACCGTCCCTCTGGCGAGCCATCACATCCGTTTAAGTGCATCTGGTCACACCTACTAGTCAGCCACGACTGACAGGGTACAGCAACAGGGGCGATGGGACAGCGGTCAAATCTCCTTTTTACCATCCCCTACTGACGGTGCAGGGGTTACCGTGCCCTGTGGACACACGCTCCGCACTTCTCCACCTGAACCGGGTACGACGCTGACCACCGAGACCCCCGCATCATACACGGGTCACCTCCGAGGCCTCGGCAAAGCAAGCCTCGGCACGATCAGCTACAGCACCCGCCAGGCCTCGGCACTCCACCAAGTCAAGAACACACAAGGCACGGCATGTCTCCTACAGTGGAAGCCATACTGACTAGACGTCAATAAGGACTCCCACAACCTCGGGCCTGGCCAGCACGGCGCGCCAGTCAAGTACCAATCGCCATCCCCAACACCATGCTGCTACAGGACTGAACTACAGTAGGCTCCACGTATAGCTCACTCATGTACTCCTGGCTCCCTCCTTGCGGTTATAAAAGGAAGCAGCCAGGGATAGCTCTGGGGGGCGAAAAAGGAGAAATAGGAAGAACACCTGGTAGCTCACACACATACACATCCCAGCCGCCTGAGAGCAACGTCTCAAGCAGCCCACACGACACCTCGCCGAGACCTGGGATTAGCTCCCTCTCTCCCTGTGCTTGTAACCCCCTACTACTAGCACTTCGGTGCAAGGAATACAAGATCGATCTCTCAGACTGGACGTAGGGCATCGATTGCCTGAACCAGTATAAACCTTGTGTCTCTTTGCATCACCATCCGGGATTAGGGGCACGCAGTTCAAATTCACTAGTTGGTAGAGGACCCCTGGTCCGAAACACCGACAGGTGGTATATGTGTAGTTTATTTGGATGCATGCAACATGTGTGGCGTATCTTCGTCTTTTCATTCAAGGTACATTGCTTGCATGCTTAACACTGGATTGGCAACTATAGGCATTGACGTCCACTGAAGCTATTAGTTTGGAGCGATGACTAGTGCAACAAGGTTAGTTTACAAGCAATGCCCCTCATGCTTTAGTTGAGCAATCCATGATTTCCATGGAAAAGTGATAGTACTAAAAAGGAATTGTGCTTGGTCGTCGAGTGGTAACAAAGAGACACATTCATTGTACTCTAATGTTAGGTGTGTCGGCGACATACTTGCCATGTAGAAGTGTTAGTGCTCACAATTTCATCGCAATCTAGCATCTTTCTAGACATAGTGGCACTAGCTTATGTTGTTGAGATTATCTATAGCCAACTAAACTTCGGGTTAGTGCACATTTTCAAATGTATACATTAATGCCATCTCTATTTTAGATTTTATTTGAGGCGCATTACATGCATAAAATCAAGAAAACATATGACAACATTTGTCACTCCAAAGAGGCAACCTTTGACGTCCACTCCAGCTATAAAGTTGGATATATAATAGACTTGCTTTCGAAAGCTTGTGGGCGGAATCCATAACATAAGCAAAGCCATCCCTATTTTACGGCTTGACTTCTAGCACTACCATGAATTACGCAAAAAGAAGTAGTACTTATGGTTTTCATCAAAACATACCATGTTCTAGCCATAAAGGCGCTGCCATCCTAATCTAATAGTTTCTTCTAGCCATGTATGAAGCCAATTTATATATAAGTTACTAAGATCATATGTAATGAACTAGATAACCGTGGGCATATCCCAGTAAATCATGGATGCCCGCACTAGTGGCATCTCTTTTTGGCTTCAGTTGGAGGCACATTGCTCATGCGGCACGTAAAACGGCATATGACGATGACGCTTGCCAATCCAAATAGGCAACCTTTAGACAACCAACTCTATTCTATGTGCGAGGCTATATAACACATGAAATAAATGTTGATGGGATAAGGTTGGCACCTAGAATTAGACTCGCTTACGCAACATAAGTACTGACGCAAATCCTCTTTCACAACTCTAGGGAAATGTCATAAATGCGTTGTTGGTTTAACTGCCCATCCAAAACCATGGTAGCCATAAAGGCGCTGCCATCCTAATCTAACAGTTTCTTCTAGTCGTGTAATGACAACAATTTAAATAGGTAACTAAATCATCTATAGTCAATTAGCTAACTTTGGGCATATATGTAAATCATGGATGCCTGCGCTATTGGCACCTCTTTTTGGCTTCTGTTGGAGGCACATTGCGCATGGGACACATAAAACAACATATGATGACGATGCTTGCCGATCCAAATAGGCAACCTTTAAATATGCAACTCCATTCTAGGTGCGAGGCGGTATAACACATGCAATAAATGTTGCTGGGATAAGGTTGACACCTAGAATTAGGGCCCTGTTTGTTTGGGCTTGTTTGGCCTATAAGCCGTACTTTTTTAGCCAACAAACAATATTTTTTTCTCACACTAAATCAGCTAATAGTACTTTCAGACATGGCTTATCAGCCAAACAAGCCCAAACGAATAAGCCGTAGACTGGCTCACACAACATAAGTACATATGCAAATCCTCCTTCACCACTCTTGGAGAAATTGCATGCACGCTATTGGTTTAACGATGGTCCATCCATGTTGTAAAAAAAAACGATGGTCCATCCAAACCCACCGTAGTCAGACTATAAATTACCGAATTATCCTTAGGCAGGCCGTTACGGAAACTATAGGCGGCGGTGCAGCACCAGTCGCCGGACGGATCCGCGCCGTTCTCGACGACGGCTGCACGCCAGTCAACCTTCTCCCACCGTCCGATCAATAGTGGGTGGGTGTTGGTGGAAGCAAGCGGATAACGTTCTTTCCGCAGTGGACTATTCGCGGCATCATTTTAAGGAAAGCGAGCGATTTATTTTTTAAAAAAAGGAGGAAAAAAAAAGCAAGCGAGAGCGAGAGCGAGGAGAGGAAGCAGGGGAACTGGGAAGGAAGGAGGAGGGCGCTTGGATCGGCATCGGCTGGAGAGGGAGGGTTGCGGAACGGGAGGTTCGATCGTGCCTCTTGGTCGGATCGGCGGCGGCAGCGGCGGCGGCGGAGGAGGAGCTGCAGGGGAGGGGAGAAGATGGCGAGGACGCCGGCAGCGGCGGGGTCCGCGGTGGGGATGGAGATGCCAATAATGCACGACGGGGAACGGTACGAGCCCGTGCGGGACATCGGGTCCGGCAACTTCGGCGTCGCTCGCCTCATGCGCAACCGCGCCACCGGCGACCTCGTCGCCGTCAAGTACATCGACCGCGGCGACAAGGTACGCTTCCCCCTTCCTCCTCCTCTGCAAAGTGCAAAGCCGACAGGCCTTCGACTCCTGCTCATGTCTTGTGGCGTGCTGTGCTGTCGTTGGCGTTGCAGATCGACGAGAACGTGAAGCGGGAGATCATCAACCACCGCTCGCTGCGCCACCCCAACATCATCCGCTTCAAGGAGGTGA